CTTTAAAAAAAAAAAAAAAAGAAAAGAAAAGGGACAGGCTTTTGCCCGCTCCATCATACTGAGCCTCTGTCCCTCCTGGAGTTGTCTTGTGTAGTTCAAGGTGCTGGGCCACACTTGGGAGAACAGTGGTGTCCACAAATCCGTCCTACTCAGCATGTGGCACAAAGGTAGGCTCCCGGGGTCCGAGTTCTTAGTGTTTGGTTGGGATCCAGGGTGTTGGGCGCAGGACAGGAGTGCCAGGGGCAAGCGTGCATTTTTTTGTGTTTCTTCCACTAAAGGGGACCGTGCTTTGGGTCCCCATTAGAAGCAACAGAGGTGTTCGAAGTCAGAAACCCCCTCCCTCCGTTGTAAACCATGTCACCCCTTCCTCAACCTTGCAAACCTGAATGACTTGGTCCACAGTGACATTTGTGATGTGCTTGTGCAGGAAGAAAGACAAGGACCCAGCCCCACCCTCTCCCTCCCTAGGGAAGCTGAGGCCTGTCCCTGCAGGGAGCAAGAGGGTCAGGGATTAATTAAAGGTGGGTCTCCACCTGGTTTCTTGCCGATGTTGTCAGTTTGTGCTTGACCCTGGGACAAAGGACAGACTCTTGTCGTGAACGTGCGGTGTCCCCTGTACACACCCCAGGCCCTGCGCACAGGTGAGGGCGCGGAGACCCAGAGAGGAGAGCACGGCTTCCTTGTGGCCACGGAGCAGATGCCCAGGCCTCCCAGGCAGGGTTCCCAGATGGCCATCGAGCCCAGATCTGGGGTGCTGGCTTCATGCGCTCGGCTCCCGGAGGGTCACGCTTAACCCAGAGTAGGTGAGGTTTCCTGAAGCTCTGGGGGTCGGAGGGGACACGGCGAGGGAGCGCACCTGCTGCAGCTGCCCTTCGGTGTCCTCGACGGCCAGGGCAGGGGCCTGCCTCTTGTGCTGGCGCACTAGCTGGAACAGGTTGAGCGCCGCCATTCTGGTGCGGCCCAGGAGAAGGGTCTTCTCAGCCGCGGTGTTCTGGATCTGAATCCACTTGGATTCCTGAAGAACACCCCGCCCGCTTCCAGATCACGCTTGGAGCCTGCTGAGGAGGGCTGGGGCCCGCCCACTTCCCTCCGGTCAGGGGCGCACGGGCGCCTCCGGGAGAGGAACCGGGGGTCAGGTTCTGCTAGCACTGGCCCCCGGTGCCCTAAAGCGCTTTCCCTGCCCGTTAGCGCCGCTGCCCCTCTGCGCTACGCATCGCCCCTTCTGTTCTTAGGGCGACGGGAGGCTGGGGGCCCGGGCGCCCAGGTCCGCCCGGCGGGCCGTACCCAGCGCAGCGTGCGCTCCCTCGCAGCCTCCAGGCGCTCCAGCAGCTGCGCTCGCCGCTGGCCCTGCCCCAGCAGCTCGTCCTGCCCGGCGTCCCGCAGCCGCTGCAGCCGCGCGCGCGCCTCCTCCAGCTCCGCCCGCCGCCCGCGCTCCGCGAGCCGCAGCGCCGCCTGCATATCGGCCAGGCCGTCGAAGCGCGCCACCAGCTCGGGGACCTCCTGGAACTGGGGTGGGGTCAAGATGGGGTCCTCTCGCCACCCGGCCCTCGGGCGCCTCCTCGGAGGGCTACTCCCTCCCCTCCCCACTCCGGCAGAAAGCCTAGCCCAGCCTCACTCCCTGTGATGGTTCCGTTCAGCTGGTATTTATTGAGTGCCTGCATACCCCCCCAGCATGGCGGAGAGGTCCAGGAAGTCAGAAGTCCGAAAGTTACCATTGTGAGGAAGTTACCATCGTGAGCCTCGGTTATCCCATTTATAAAATGGGGTAGGCAAGAGCAGGACTCCCGTCACCGGGCGTTGGGGAGAATTCAAGAACAAAGCTTGTCCCTGGCATACAGTCAGCGCTCAGTAAGTGGTGATTGCTGGCATACAGTCAGCGCTCCAGTAGTGCACACCCGAAGCCGTCCCAGAGGCTACCCAACGCTGCACGGTGGCGCCTGAGCCCCCAAGCCTCCTGCAGGGCGCTCACCTCGGGCAGCTGCTCCAGCACTTGGCCCAGCAGGCGCGCGCAGGGCTCCAGGCGCTCCAGCCGGCGCTGCAGCCGCGCGCGCTCCCGCCGCAGCTCGTCCCGCTCGGCGCCGAGAAGGGGGCGGAGCACTCGACTCGCGCGGCCTTAACTCCAGCCCCCTCCGAGCCCCTCCGCCCCCCGCCTACGCGCCAGCCTGCCGGGATTGGCCGAGCGCCGCCCTCCGCCCGATCCCCGGCGTTATGTAAGGTGCTCTGGTGTCTTCTCCCCGCCCACTCGCCTTCGGTTATGTAACCCGGGCGCCCCGGCGCGGGCCCCGCCCCCTGGCCAATGGGGGCGCGCAGAGCCGGACGCGGCGGCC